CTTATTAAATAAACCAAAAGATGTCTCCTTATATTAACGTTTTTGGAGGCGTACTTCATATGAAATCGGTTGAGATTGTCGATAATCATCATTTTATCCAAATAACATGACGTTATCTAATTTGTTGACCCGTATTAAGTAGAAGAAATTGGAAAATAGTGACTAAATTTTAGAAAGTAGAGTTAGGGGCCATTTACTAAACACTTACTTGGTAAGCGCTTAAAGCAAAAATATCCTTATCGGATGAACATGAGAAATGCTAAGAATCTTACCGGGTAAGAGCGATGAGAATGATGAAGAGTCTTACCCGGTTAAGTGAGGATGATGACTCTTACTCAGGTAAGCACTTATCTAGTAAATTGTTGTATTTGATATGCTTTGATGTACTAAAATCTTATGCATCTAAATAAATTCTAGTGTTGACTCCTATTGGATTGGTAAGCGCTTACCGAGTAAGCATTTGGTAAACGGCCTTTTAATTTGGTTGAGAAAATAATGATGAGTAATTAATTAGAAAAAAGATTGATTAAATGATTAAAGTAACACCAATAATTACTTAAAAGAACACACGTGTGCACAAGTTCAAACACATGTGATGTGGCTTTAGAAGTTTGGTACCCTTCAACTATCAACTACTTTCAAACCCCTTCATGGGACCAAAATTCATATCCCAATATCTACCTTTATACATAACCCCAAATGCAATAAAACAAAATTTATGTAAAAAAATTAAGGGATTATTTGCTGAATATTTTAGGGATAATTTTACGATATTATATTACTGATAAAGAATATTACTCAGTAAGTAATGATGAAAACTATTACTGATTTACTTAAAGATGATGGCATTTTTATCAACAATTTTACTCTGTAAGATAAGTAAGGATGATAACTATAACCCAGTAAGTAAAATTTTAAGCCATATTTAATTTTTGAATTGATTGATAACTATTATTGAACGACTTCGTAATAATAATAATAAATGATTATCAAATCCATAGAATTTGTACCCTGGTTTTGCTTTTCATAGACCACCTCCTACTTCTTTTCTTTTTCTCACAAATTTAAAAAACCAATTAATTTCAACAATTTAATCTTATTTTTATGATAAAAAAAACTATTTTAATTGAATATTGAAACTTATTCAAGAAAACATTCAACCCACATATGACAAATCCAAATAAGATTAATGATGCAATAGGAGATTGATTGACATATGGTACATGATTTAATAGATATCTCTTCTAGAAAATACTTTTCGTAACTATCTGAAACTTAAAATACTCAAATAACTCTTAATTAACTTAAAATAACAAATGAAATTGTTGACAGTCAAAAATTAATATTTATAATGAGCTCAAAAATATCATTATCTATATTATATTATAAAGTATTTGACAAAAAAATAAAAAATCATTTTTTATGCATGAAATACTATTTATTGATTCATATTACTTAAAGTTCAATACTATAAGTAAATTGTGCATAAGTACAATTTATTAAAGTTTTAACTGGAGATAAACATAATCAAATACAAGATAAATATCTCATTTTAAATATAAAAAAATAAAGTATAATTAGTATAATCATTGAATTTTAAGAAAATATTTAGTTATCATCCTTATAAAAATTCTATTATTAAACAAAAATAAAATATTTTGTTATTAAATCTAATTTAAATTATAATAAAAATTGAATTAAATAAATTATATAAAAAACAAGAACTTTTAAATAATTAATTTAATATTAATATCGATACATCGATACTTTTTTTCAAATCTATATTTCATTCAAAAATAAAAATATTATCGTTTTATGAAAACCACATAAAATCGTATAATATCTCGTTGCATTGTGCGGGTATCCTTCTAGTCTACATATAAGGTACGAGTTTCATTGAACCTTGAATCTTATATTTCATAGTCTTTCAAATTATCTACAAAAAATGTTTCAACAAAATTTTCTTAGTATAATACCAATATAAATATTCTTAGTATCCAGTTCACCAAACAAACTTCAATTTTTTCCCCAAAATAACAAAAATATTGCAAAAACTATTTTATGTCGGTTTTATACCTTTCTAAAAAATATAAACACAAATTTAAAACCAAGACCACTGTCTCGTAGCTCCAATTTATGTTACAAGTCTTTCTTTTTAATATCATCATCAGTTCATACATTGCAAGTATGACACGATGATTGTGTTCAAATTGTAAACAAATCAATTAACGAAGCATTCATACCAGTTAATGATATAAAATAGTTTAAAAATGAATAATTGGTTGAAAATTATGCTTTGTTCAAAAAGATTAGGTAGAAAGAACATGGTGATTAAGACAAAGTGATGTTTCCTTAATTGTGCATAATTGTGATGTTTGATTTGGACCATTTGATGGATCCTTGGTGGGTGCATCCACTACCTTTCAATCATTTTATAGGTTTAGATATTATGTATATTACTACAAGTATAGTAATATACAACATAATATTACTAATAACATCATAAAATAACTGAGATAATACATTCATACGTATTTCTCATATTTGGTGAAGTTATTACCAATTTAGCATGTGGAAGACAACCTCCTTTGTATTAATAAGTATTAGGTTTAAAACATCCAAACAGAAAAAGTAAAAAGAAACGACTGTAAGAAACAACGTCTGCTTGATATATTTTAAATGTTATACAATAACTGCTAAGATATTTTTTTTTGTTTACATAACTGTTTAGGATCAAGATATTCAATAATTGGTCGAATTAAGTAGTGGTGTTTTAGATAATTCTAAACAATGGGTAGTTGCTCATCATCATCATCAACCACTTTAGTTTAAAGCCAACCAAGTAATAATTCTTCGACAACTGGTATGATTAATACACATATCTTGATAGATTAAGTCGTTTCAACACTAAACACGTGGAAATGCATGTGTTTTATGACCAACATGATGCTTCAGTTATATGAAAATTATGTGGTTCATTTTTAGCCTAAAATTATGGAGTTGATTATAAATCAGTATCTGATGATTTTCTCGATGCTGTTTTTTGGTTTATAGAATCGAATTTAAACATAATTTATTTCTATTTTCTTAAGAAAAATATTTTTGAAGACATTTTAAATGAGAGAAAGATGGTTACAGTTTTTATGAGATTATGTGAATTGTATATTGAAAATTGGGAGAAAAAACTATATTACTAAATTTATTTAAAAATATTAGAAGAGTACTCGCGCAATACAGCGAGATACATCTTGATTTTAATGTTCTATTTTATTATTTGTCTCTGTCGATATTATAATACAATTTTATGTGTTTTTAAGAAAACAATA